AAAAAAAAAAAAAAAAAAAAAAAAAAAAAAAAAAAAAAAAAAAAAAGAATCTTGACATATTTATATAGTCATTTTTATTTTATGATTCCCATGTGCTGCCAAATGTTTTCCATTTGTGTTTTGTTTAAAAACCAAAGGTATTTTTAAAAAAGTCTTCTCAATGGCTCTATGAAAACAGGCTGGTGTCTACTGTTTCAGAAACTAGGTGTTATGTACAAGTCTCTACTAACTGTAGAACTTGATTTCAAAGCCAGGAAGGCACTTGCTTAACATTGCAGTCTGTCTCCTGAGAATTTGATAACTATTCCATGCCAATTAGTGATGCCATTTAAGTAAAGATAATTTATATCAGTTTTATTTCTCATTTATTTAATATTGAAATGCTCCAAATGCTTATCACAGAGTAGTTCTTTTTTAGTTTTATATGTTACGCATTTGGGAAAACTTCAAATATACAATAAGAGTAGTATTATTTTACAGTATCATTGTTTGCTCTTTCAAAAAAATATATTCAGCCTCAGAAAGTACTGAATTTTATTTAAAAGAAATAACTAGTGCAGTGAAAAGGTGAAATGATTCCCTGGCCAAAAGGAATCATTCTATGCTCCCTACAACCATGTAAAAAATAATGTATACCTAATTGACTAATTGATGTGAAAGTCATGTATATGCCATGTGCCTAAAGTTATATGTAAATATATATAATATGCATGCATATTTGTGTGGGTTATATACCAATTCATAATTCATACAAAAAGTTCAGAGATACATTACTTTTCAGTGTTGTAACTAGAAAGGTTCTAAAGCAAATAATTTAAATTTTCTTTCTTTTTTTTTTTTTTTTGGTTTTTCGAGACAGGGTTTCTCTGTGTAGCTTTGAGCCTTTCCTGGAACTCACTTGGTAGCCCAGGCTGGCCTCGAACTCACAGAGATCCGCCTGGCTCTGCCTCCCAAGTGCTGGGATTAAAGGCGTGTGCCACCACCGCCCAGCCTTTTTTTTTTTTAATTTTTCTTATTTTACCATTTATCATATGATCTTTGAGAGGAGGTGGCAGTTAAAACTAGCATTTGAAAAGATAGCCTTTCCTCTTAAACAGAAACTTATAATTTTGGATGTAAAGAAAACCTACAAACATGTTTACAGATCCAAAGTAATACATACTCATTGTTTCCCATATAGTTCATAACTTGCAGTACTGTAATTTATTTAACACAGCTAATGCAACAATATTGATACATTATAGTCAGGTAAAAGCTGCCCTTTGTTCCATTTTCCTTAACATTTATCCAATACCTTTCTTTTCTTCTTCCTAGTTCCTTCTAAAGATGCACAGTAATTAGAGTGAATCAGGGGGTCTCCAGCCTTATGTAGACAGTAAGAATTTCTAAGAGGATTTTACTTATTTTGTATGACCTTGACAGGTTATCAGGAGTACTGCTGTGGTATTTTGTAGACTGTCTCTTGGATGAAGCTTAGCTGATGCTTCTCATCAACTTCGAGGGCTTAGAGAAAAGAGATGGAAGGCACAGGGTACCATGGTTTATCATTGCAGTGATACATGCTAGCAATGCCACTTACAACTATTGAACACCACAAGAGATGAGACCACATGTCTCATCTCTTGTGGTTTCTATAAGAAAATGTAACAAAACAAGCTGAGTCAGTTATATACAAAGTGAAGTATTTATTCCAGCTCTAAGGGTTGGAAAGATCGACATCAGGGTGCCTCCCTGGAACTTACTAGAAGTCCCCTGTGCTCGCTTGTGTCTGCTCATCTATCACAGTGTCTTCACATGGTCAAAAGGAGAAAGCTAGCTTGGAACCCTTTTGTGAGGCGATCAGTCCCATGCAGGTACTAACTTTCCCCACACCGTTTGCCAAGTTCTCATTTTTAAGGCCATCAAGGTAGAGGTTAAGATTTCAACACAAGAATCTGGGGATGGAACTTAGGTCCAGAGCATAGAACCAGATTTCTCCATGAGAAGTTACCTCCAGCACCTCTTTCCATTGCACCACGCAGATGGTACTTTGCGGCTCACACACAGAGCCACATTGCACCATTTTCATTTCACCTTCTTGATAGGAAACTTCACTCGATTTTAATACATGAATTTATTATTCGAGAATATCATCTCTATTGAGTCACATTAGTAAAAAAAAATGTTGCCCCAAAGCTGTGTATTCATAATAATTGAACAATTATTGTATAATTATTTCTTAGTATGCAATTATGATCATATATAATATATGTATACTTCTTCTCTGTATATATAACAAATATATTTGGATTGTATATAATAAGCAAGATCACTTAACTAAATAACTAAACTAAAAGATTTTTTTGTGGACTTAAATTAATTTTAACACTCTATCTCTAAAGTTGTTTCACCTGTAGGGAGAAATGGAATTGTATTTTGAAGCTGTTCTTTAACAAGATGAAGAGATTTTTATGATTAAAGAAAAAAATCAAAGATTGCTAAATATCTTATGGATAGTATTATTTTCATATAGTTCATGTAAGTGATAAAAATACAACTTATGTCTCCAATACTACATGATTTCTTAACATCATTATGTCAGTGTAAAAGATAATATTTAATTTCACTTGGGCAGAGAGATTTTAATATTTAAATGTCTACAGTAGTAGCACTGGGTTTTAATTTGAGAATTTAAACATGAACCTAAGCATGTCCTACTTAAATTATAAATATGAAGGAGGTTTCTCTTCTCACATAAACCACACTCTATAGTAGAGTCAATCATTTCATCCTTACATTATTTTATTGGATCTTAAGAGCAAGAAAAGCTGATTGTTAGCAAATTTAACATAATAGTCTATGTATTAGGCTACATATATTTGTAAATGGATGTTACAAAGCAATCTTACTTTGAACTGGCAATCTTCCAACCTTATAGAGTTGAATGAACTCCAACTAGCTAGCTCTTTTTTTTTTTTTTTAATGGATGGGAAATGTTTTCTACGAAGCTTCAGGTACTGGACCGTGGTAATGTACATTGTTTATTTTAGAACATCATTCTTGCAAGGAAGGAGTAGATGAAGTCATCAAAGCATTACAATGTCATCAGCTGCAGAATTAGAATTAGATAAGGATTTGTTTGAATATCACCCTAAATCCATAATGCCAAATGTAGTGACTTCATTTGGTTTGTTTTAACCTTTCAGCCAGAAGGGATATTTGCTTAAACAATTAAATGCAGTTGTCTTTGTTTGGAGTGGTGAAGGGCTTATCTCATTGCTATCTTTCTGTGACAAAAATTGGCTTAAAAGAATGTCAATAGACACAGTACTACATATATTAGGGGAGCAGTGTATCTGTCTAGCAACATATGTATGTTCAACCTATAGTGCATATTGATCCTTCTTTGTTAACCCTGTTGACTTAATGAAATATCTTTTCTAAGTTGTTTTCTTTTAACCAATTAGAGTATTTATCAGCATATTTGTAGAGGGAAGTGATTGCATCTCAGATATTTGCTCATGTATGATAAACCAGTAAAGATAACTCAGCAGAAGAATATGTGAACATCCATCCAAACTTAGAGTGCACACCCACAGTCACTTCAGCAGGTAGATTTATTCAACAAACACGTTGTACTTGATTCTATTGATAGACAAACCAAGTATCCGAAACGTATTTCAAGAATGAAAATGGTCCTTAGCAACTTTAAAACATGTCATTGAAAAAAAATAGTCCTTATATTTTCATTTAGATACATTGGGAACAATTACACAATGAAAGACAATAAAAATTGGAAAATATTTGGAAGACTGTTTAGAAAATAAAGTTATTTTGTTTTCACATGGTGGTCTCTTTTTAAACATTTATTTACTTATTTATTGCGTGTGTGTGAGAGAAGGGGGTGATGGGGGAGAGAGAGAGAAAGAGCACAGACCAAAGACTGTGGAGGTCAGGGGACCACTGATGGAGCTGGTCCTCCCCGACTGTGTGCATTCCAGGGACTGACTGCAGGTCATTGGGTTGGGAAGAAGTACCTTTACTTGTTGTGCCATGTCAGTGGCCCTACTGAGGACTTCAGAAATATTTCATGCCATGCCATTTGCCAATTTAAGTAGAAAGTTTATTTATAGCAACTATGCTTCCATTTTTGTTTTGTGTTTTATTAATCAGTTTTAAACTTTTAAAAAAGGAGGTGTAGAAATAGCTGAGTTTTCTTAACAGCTACTAGCACAGTTGGCAAGATATACTTTCATTCCATCTTTTTCTTCTGTATTCACTCTTTCTTTTTTGCTAGGTGGCATGCATGCAGTGGTTTCATGGAGACCATACAATGCTTGAGATGATTGAGAAAAAGCGTTGCTTGTGCAAAGAAATAAAGGCTAGACAGAAAACGGAAAAGGGCCTTTGCAAACAGGATAGCATGCCAATCCTACCCAGCTGGAAGAAGAGCGCAGGAACAAAGAAGTACAGCCCTCCTCCCTATTCTAAACAGCAAACGGTATTCTGGGATACTGCCATCTGAGTGTGTACTGGCGTGAGCTCCACATTGCATAATACAAGAGAGGTTGACTTGGTCTTGTGATAATTAATTGTTACAAATATTCTTTGTTGGTGTGGAATACCACAGGAATCTGCGGGTACTGTGGCAAGTCCAAGATAAAACATGGTTGTCCTTGCAATTAAGGCACACTCTCTTATTGTGGATTATTTTGAATCCAGAATATATCAAATTGTAAATATTTTGCTAGTTTATGGGTGACACCTGAAATAATTATTCATTATACATATTTAAGTTGGAGAAATATCAGAAAACTTTACTAGATGATATAATTTGGTATTAACTGGTTTGTTATCTCTTTTATATGTAATCTCTGAATGCCTTTTCTTATTAATTTTTGCATTAAAATGTCTTTGTCCTCCTGCCCACATTTGGCTTCTGTAGAAGAGCTCACAGGTATAAGTCCTATTTAAGCACACAATATGTGATCTGGTGCTAGCAACACAGAAGTTGAATATCGTATTTGTAAAGATTGTCTGCTGCTTTCTATGTTTGTAGGGGATTGATGAGAAATGAGTGGAAGTATGACATTGGTCTGAATGTCCATGTTACACTGACATTGACAGTCTTTGCTACAGTGGCTTCCTAAGGATTTCTTTTCTATCCTGGGCACTACACTGAGTACCAGTTAGTCAGACCACAGAGAAAGGTAGGAGGGTATGTTGAGACATTCCAGCAGCAAACTTTCTTTCAAAAATGACTTTTAGGGATGTGGTCCTTGCAGCATTGACTTGATTGGAGGAGACCAGGGTTCACTGTGACATTGGAAGGAAAGAAGAATCAAATCCTTAAGAGCATGGTGGTTTTCAAGACAGTGGAAGCAGAGGCACGATAGACATGATACTTTTATATAACACCTCATGGGCATGATTTTCCCACAATAATTAGAGAAATGGATATTCAACTATACCAATTTGGATATTTTAGTATACTCCATGCCTACCTTCCTCAAAATTTAAGTCCATTCATGGAAAAGTATTTCTTGCCAATTTTTTAAATCTAGTCATTACATTTTTGGGTCATAATCTTCTGTTCACAATTATCGTACCTGTTCTACTGATTATGACACCACGACCAAAGAATTATGACCACTTCTTTATTTTATTTTGTTTTAAGGAAGAAACAGGAAATGCAGGGGAGAAACAATAAGGCGGACTCAACTTTATGAGGTAGTCAAATTTAAGTGAAGAAATTTAAGTTAAGAAAAATGGTATATATCTTTAAAAGTAACTTGTTAGTTGAAAATGAATATTGCCACGGATAAATAAAAAGGAAACTATGACATATATTTTGTATATTTAAATTACTATTTATGCTTCCTAAAATTGACAGTATGTGGTTCTTCATTAACAATCAATTTAGTATTATATTTCTGAGAGGAAAAATTGTGTTTGACGTTATTATCAAAGCAGTTTTTCTTGTAAGGGTATTGACAGCAATAGTCCCATGCTGCTCAATAAAACCAAATATAAGAGAAGTTAAGGAATTTTTGTAATCTATATTGATAAAAAAAATCTAGTAATTCTTTATCAGTAATAGTTCCTTGAAGAGAGTTTGAAATGTTATAACATAATTTTTTAATGTTTTATAATTAATGTATATTTTGATGTCCAATTATAATTCTGAAAGAATAAGGAAAACGGTAAGTGGGAGCGTGTGTTGTGTGAGTGTGTGTGTGTGTGAACAATCAGTGGGAAAACTGTATATATAAAATGCTTACTGAAGTTGTAAGTTCTGCTTGTACAACTAACTAAGATGGTGACAAAGGCAACATCAGAAATAGGGATACCACAGAGAGATCTTAAGTAGCATAAACGAATGCTGTGGCTGTGTTTTCCTAGCTATGTAGATTTATAATTCAAGCCCAACAATCAATACGGCACAGACAGAAGAGTGATGAAAATGTTTTAAGATAAAATCGTAATTGAAATCAAATGTGGTTTTTGGTTCAACTTGTTATCTTGACTTAAGTTATTATGATCTCATATATTCAAGCCAATCAATCAAACACAAAGCACCATTTGTTGGCATCTCTGTGATCTTAATGCTTGTGCATTCTGGCTATTACAGTAAAGATGAGTCCTCTCTTGACATGTAAGTGTAGGTAATATATTTCTAAATGTGTTTTTTCATCTGCCGATCTTACACATATCACTCTGAATTAGGCAGAAGATAATTTTTAATGTTGGTCACTTGTCCGAAAGGAAACAGAGGTACTAAAATGATTTGTGTTGGATTCAGCCATTCATGGATGTTCTCTTAAGTTCATGCCATGGCCACATATCACATACTCCTCTTTCAAATGTGTTATTTTTGGAGGAGTTAGCTGTTTGGAAAATTTGAACTTAGGTAACCATTTCCATTTATTTCTCCAAAGCTCTCTCTACAAGAGAAAGAATTGAAATATCTGGAAAAAATGGCTTCACTTGGATTTGACTCCAGATTTATTCCTCTGTGCCTAGACAATATATATTGTCTAGGCACAATATAATATTGTCTGATGTGGCAATTAGCTATTCTATAGTCAACTTCCTCTTTGTATAGAGTTCCTCTTTGTTGTGAGAAAAGAGTCATTAGTACACAGAGAAAATCATGCTGACTCTTTGGTGGCAATAAATCAGGCAGAATCTGGTCAGAAGATAATCTGCAGCCAGCACATGATATCATGATAAAGCTCATATTTCTAGCAATGCCAAAGAACAAATCATATAAAGGCATGTTATCAGGCCAAGAGAACTCATACTTATGACAAATAGTCTTTTCACAGCAAATGTTGTAGAAACAGAATTTTATTGGCTGTCAGCAAGATGCTTTTATGTGTGAAATACTTCTTAGTAGAGAAGACATGAATTTCCTTAGAAATGATGGAAGGAAAGAGTAAAATACTGTGTTTTCCCCATCATAGAAGCCAGCACTATGTGAGAAATCACACTTTACAGAGACATTGCCGATATCTCCCTCTATATGCTATTGAAGCAAGTTTGGGATAAAAAATGATTTGTGCAAATAAGGGTGACTTTTCAGCCATATAGTAATTGAGAAAGAAAAGCAAACTTCAAGAGGTAAAATTTGTTATTTTATAAAGCATACACCTTTGGATACAAAATAATTGTTTGGACATAAGATCACTTTTCAAAATAATAGTTTTGAACCGTTGACAATCAACAAGATTTGGTTTGAACAGTTCTAGAAGACAGAGATAGTGACACATGTGTAGTCTTGTCTACACCCAGAATTTGGTTTGATTCTTTTGCACAAGTTAATAGAAAGTCAACACAGATGAACAGTCCCAGCTAGTTACTGTTTTAATAAAGACACCAGAAGAATGCACCTACACATACATTTTTGTATCACTTTCATGTTAGACTCAGTCAGATTCTCATTATAGATCCTGTAAATTAATCATGTTTCCAGTTGAAATGAAAGCAAATATTCATACAATTTATGGAGTATGTAATTTGAGGGGTTGTAAGTCTCACTTGAAAAGGAATGTAGATAGGATAGACTATGATCCCCTCATAGATTGTATCCTAAATTTAAAAGGAAACAAGAGAGAAATGACATGTACAGTGCATAGGGATATTTACAATATCTTCCTGGTTTGGAATAATAACTAGCTAATTGCAGAATGTGGACAATTTGTTAGTAATCCATTATTTCTTTAGAAGTTCATTGTATCATTTTCTTAGACAGTATAGAAGCACTTTGAATTGAACACTGAAATAGATGTGGTTTTTGCAATTAAGGAACTCAATCATGAAAACATTAATATTTTCAAAATAAAAAGCCAATTGTTTCCAAGAGTATACATAATTTCATATGTTTGGCAGTTTTTAAGTGCTTACATGCAACATTCTTGTTGTTTTCTGGTCAAGTGTACAGTCAAAATAAAAGGTGAAAATATACTAAATTTATGTCTAAGTATAGCATATATGTATGTGTAAGCTTCTACCTGTACATTACAATATGTACTGCTATCTGTGTAAATCAGTAAAAGATAACACTGTTTTATCATATTAAATGTAAACATTGTGGCTTGAGGTTTGGATGGTTTAAAGCCCTCTCATATTTGGGTCAATTTTATTGGAACAAAATGTGTATAATCTGGAAAAATATCTGGTTACATTTACTTTTATTATTATGAAGCTTCAAATTTAAGGAAAAACATTTTAAAAAATACTGTTGAATTTATCTCAAATAAACATATATGAATATTCCTTCAAAGTATTCATTTGCTCCCAAATATAACTGGGTTTGCCCACCCTAAATGCATTTATATTTAAACATGTACACACTCAGATACAGAATGCATACTGTATATAATATATATGACAATGTTTAGTATGCACTTCTTTTGTTTGGACTTCTTAACATTTATAGTGTAGCAATTTGTGTAAAGTGCACTGTGATTATAAGAAGAATCAAAGCACAGTACAGTCACACCTTTGTTATCTTGCACTAAAAGTGTGTTTACGTATTTAGCAACTGTATGTTTACTTTCTTGACTTTTCAAACATTTGGAACAAATAGCTATGAAAAATGATATAAACTAATCTGTTTTCTAGTGGATAATTACACTACATTTTTAAAAGACAGGGTTTTTAAAGAAAACCATTTAACATCCATTCCAACATTAAGATGTTTACCATATCTGAAAATCTGAATGTCATATTGCATTTTTCATAACTCATTAGCAATGTCAGGTATGTGCCTGAATATTTGTGCAAATAAGCATTAGATAACAGATTTCTCTATTCATGTATTCCTAGGCATTTCTATATACATAATAATATAAACACTGATGTTTTAATGTCTCTTAATTTTTGTACTTGATTTTTTTAGTAATATGTAATTATATATGTACTTTGATACTACTGAAGTAACCAGATGTTGTTTGAAAACAAATTGATTTCTCTCTAGTGCATTGACAATATTTTATGATATTTTGTGCTTATTTATTTGTGCTCCCGTGTAATTATAATAAAAGCAATAGTTTAAATTAGATGGCTGTTGTTTTCTTATACTTATTCATCAAGAAGCAAGATTAAAAGGGCAATTGAGTTGAACATTAGTTGAATATATTCTATACATTTACTAGAATTTCACAGTGTCATTTAATAATTTATATTCGTTTTCAAAAGACTTAAAGAAAAGCACATCTTCATTTAAATATTAGATTTGTTTGTGAATTGCTGAACACTGGTAAGTATTAAAGGCCTTAACTCTATAGTCATGTGACCCCTGCTATCCTTAATTATGACTTAGTTTCTGTCTCAAGATGATACATTAACTAAGGTGCTTTGACATTTCATTTTATTTCAACTTGACCTAATACCAGTCAGATTTAATACTAGAGTATTAAAGAATTGAATCCAAGAACCCTAAGCCCACACTTTCAGATAAAATATTTAATGGGATGGTATTAAGTCATATTTTATACTGATAGCCCTTATAGAAATAACCTAAATGAAATATTTACTGTTGGCAGGATGTCAATAAATAAACTGTTCCTGAATATCTGAAACATGACTTTGGGGCTCATTGATCATATAAAAAGTATGTAGTATCCTTTAATGGTCTCTAATACCTTCTTCATTAACCACTTATATAATAATCATATAATTAATGTGAATTTAATTGATTATAATTTCATATTTACTCAATAACAATTTCCACCATTCATTTTTCAAAGATTTATTCATTTTATCTGTATGGATGTTTTGTCTTCATATATGCTTGTGAAACACTTCTTTGCCTGGTGCCCGTGGGGTCAAAAGAGGACATTGGATCCTCTGGAACTGGAGTTGCAGGCGGTTGTGAGAAGCCATGTGGGTCCTTTGTAAGAACAACAAACATTCTTTCTTTTGAGACAAGATTTCTTTGTGTAGTTTTGGTGCCTGTCCTGGATCTCATTCTGTAGCCCTGGCTGGCCTCGAACTCACAGAGATCCACCTGGCTCTGCCTCCTGAGTGCTGGGATTAAAGGCATGTGCCACCTCCACCCAGCACAACAAACATTCTTAATGTTGGAGTCTTTCTCCACCTGCCCATGATCATTTCTTAAAAGGAATCTAATTTATCACCATGGCTCAGCTCAGCCCTTCCATGTATTACAATGCACAGTGTGATGCACTGCCTCTGGGTTTAACAAGAAGTAACTAGTCACATCTTCATCTCACCATCAATACTCCAATCTTATGTCCATCTCAGTCTATAAAAATATACTCTATATTTTAAATTAAATGTTACTTTCATCATCCTAAGTTCCTTTAAATCCCTATTCCCTGCTTTGTGAACTCACATCTTAATACATTTATGTTAAGAATAATAGGTGAGTTACTATTAAGCAAAACCCATTCTCTTACGGTGATTTGTAGTGAAGGCATACTTACTAGTATACAGGTATACTCACAAACATGGGCGTGTGACAGAACATATTAGAATAGGGGAATTTGAGAAAATTGTGTGGCATCAAATTATATTGTATAGAGACATGATTCTCATACTGCTGTACAGAAAAATCAAGACGCCTGTCTTATTTAAGGGTTCTATTACTAGGTGGTATCTGTATTTTATTACCAAAAGCAACTTAGGGAGAAAAGGTTTATTTGATCTTCTACCTCTCAAGTCACAGTCCATCACTGAGGGAAGTCAAGGCAGGGACTCAAGGCAGAAACATAGAGGCAGAAACTGAAGAAGAGGATATGAAGAATGCTGCTTACTGTTTTTTTTCCTCATGGCTTGCTCAATCTGCTTTTTTTATATAGCCCAAGACCACCTGCTGAGAGATGGCAATCCCTACAATTGACTGAGCTACTAATTACTAATTAAGAAAATGCCTACAGGCTTGCCTACAGAACAATCTTATTGAGGCATTTTCTCAGTTGGGATTTCCTCTTCTCAGATAACTCTTGCTTGCTTCAAGTTGACAAAACAGAACAATTGAACCCTTGTTAACTTGACACACAAATGCATCACTGTCTAATAATAACCTTTTCTTTCTTGTTAATCTTCAAGAGTAACATCATAGTAATATCAAAATATCAATATAACACATGTTCCAAGCTTTTAAAAAAAATCCCACAGTCTTTACAAATCCAAACACTTGAAAAAATTCAGTCTCTTTAGAACAACTAAAATCTCACTAAAATATTCAAAGTCTCTCAACTGTGTGTGCCTGTAAAATCAAAAGACAAATTAATTACTTCTTACTCCAAGGAAGAAGCAGGGCACAGTCACAATCAAATCAAACTAAATTCAAACTTCATCAGTGTGATGTCAGTGTCATAGACCTGAGGTCCACTCACAGTCCCCAATCCCAAGGCATTTAGACAGCTCCACTCTACAATTGCTGCTGTCCTCAGTGGTCATCTCATGGTTCTATCATCTCACCAACACAGGTGTCTCTGCTGTAACTGAGCTGCACTTTTATCAAGGGCCTCACAGCTTCTCACAGTACCAGGCCTCAACTGCTCTCTGTGATTACTTTATGCCTTCCTATCCAGTGTCACGTGAGTGACTCATAGTACCAAGTTCAGCTGACAGCACAAGGTACAGCCTTTACTATTTTGAACACAGCTTACACGTGCTAATCCTAAGGAACCATTTCCTATAACATTTTCCTTCAATTCTGCTGCTCTCTTTTTAGTCATAGCTGATTCTTCAGCCCCAGTTGACCAGTCAATTGTCTCAGCAAAGCAAAGTTTTACTTCAGTGTTCTGGTGTCTTATTTATCAGAGCTAATTCTTTAGCCCCAGATGACCAGAACCACAGATTCTTTCTTTTAATGTATTTATTTATTATGTACACAGTGTTCTGCCTACATGCCAGAAGAAGACACAAGATCGAATTACAGATGGTTGTGAGCCACCATGTGGTTGCTGGAAATTAAACTCAGGACCTCTGGAAGAGCAGCCAGTGCTCTTAACCTCTGAGCCATTTCTCCAGCCTGAACCACTTTTTCTTTTTTGTTTGTTTTCTGTTTATTTGAGACAGGGTTTCTCTGTGTTGTTTTGCTGCCTGTCCTGGATCTTGCTCTATAGACCAAGCTGGCCTCAAACTCACAGAGATCCACCTGCCTCTGCCTCTTGAGTACTGAGATTAAAGGTGGCTTAAGCCACCACCACCCAGCCTGAACCACTGATTCTTAACTCAGAATATTTAATAGCACCAAAAGAGTCTGTAAGGGACTTTCAAATTTGCCTCTGAAACTTCAGCAGCCAGTTTTCCATTCTATGATCTTCCATCAGCATTATATCTTCTAAGTTTTTACAATAGATCATTAAGCTCTCTATACTCAATGGCTTTTCCAGACCTAAATTACAAAATCTTTCCATAATATGCTCCTCTAAATGGCCATGTCTGTCCCAGAAATACTCTAATTATGGTAACAATTTCTGTCTTAATTAAGGTTTCTATTGCTTTGATAAAAACCATGACCAAAAGTTTACAAATCTCAGGTCACACTATCACTGAAGGATGTCAGAGTAAGAACTCAGAGCATGAACCTAGATGAAGGAACCAAAGCATAAGTCATGGAGGAAAGCTACCTACTACCTTACACCTCCTGGTTTCTTCGGCCTGTTTTCTTTTACAACCCAAGACCACCTGCCCAGGAATGGAACCACCTACAATGGTTAGGCCCTTCATATCAATCACTAATTAAGAAAATGCCCTATATGGTTGCCTATAGGCCAGTCTTATGGGGACATTTTCTGAGTTGCATTTCCCTCTTGGCTGATAATTCCAGCTTGTGTCAAGTTGACCAAAACACTAACCAAGACAACACTCAACGTCAAGAAGGTAGGTGATGAGAATATGAGACTACAGAATTCTTAGCCCTAAATGAAACACTTGTATCACATCACATTTCCTCCCAAAGATCTAGGGATCATTGAGGAAGAGAAAGTGGCCAGATCGCAAGAGTAAGAGTAGGTGGTGGGTGAAAACACAGTAGTGTTTTCAAGACACAGGAAGATAGTTGTACATGTCAACCCACAACAGTTGTGGCAGTATGTGCAAGGCCTGTGCAAGGTTAAGCCAGATAAAATCCCAGCATGGAGAAGGGAGATGGACACAAAAATCCCACTCCTAGCTGAGGAGCTATTAGCAATTTTTAGCTGCTAGGAGATTTAGATTTCTTTAAGAGTGTTGCTGCTGATAGGTCAACAAGTTTCCGAGGATAGCCACACATCCATGAATATAAGGATAGCACAAATTAGACTTGGTGGTGGAATAAAAAAAGGGCATAAAGTTGGGTGGGTAGGGAAAAGGGACTGGATCTGGGAGTGAATATGATCAAAATGCACTCTACAAAATTCTCAAAGAATTAGTAAACCTGAAGAAACCTGAAGAAAAAAAGATTTTTAAAGGAGTTATCTTGAGGTAAGTTCACATATCACTTATAAATAAATTCCCACAGGTGATTCTAACATGTTTAAGAATCAGAGCAGAGATTCTCAAACTTCATTGCACATGTTCATTACCTTAAAATCGTCTTAACAGGGGGCTGGAATAAAAAAGACTGAGATTAATACCTTTATGAAATTCCCGAACACACTGATGCTTCAATCTACAGACCACCCATTAGAGCATCTGGGCATCTGGCTTCCCTGCCTGTGTTTAGGAAGACCTTGGAAGTGATATTCCAGAGCAGTAGTACCAAGATAGAAGCTCAGACATGGATAATGCAGCAGGATCCGAGAAATTGTTAGAGAAGCAAACCTTGAGTCCTGTTCCCAGTGATTCCGGGGTTGAGGAACATGAACCTCTTTTGGCAAGTACCATAATGATTTGCATGTGCAGCAAAGTTTGAGAAATGCTATCATAATTTGATAATGTTTTCACCTATGAGAATGCATTATGTTCACCCTGGCAGATTTGCTTTTCAAGGCTGATTTCTGGCTCGCACACTCAGAGATTCTGAATTTATCATGGGCTTGGGGGCGGGACCAGAAAGAAGTTTCTTCTTCCTTCTCTCTCTCTTTT